TTTAGGGCTTAGGGCTTAGGGGTGCAAAAATATGGGAGTTCCAGAAAATAAGGTGTACCTTATTTTGGGCCATTTTGGGGTCCTTATAATAAGGATCCTACTATTTGAGGGTACTATATTAGGGTTTAGGGTTTAGGGTTAAAACCGAAAAGATCCTGAGACATCGCCCCCTTCCCTCCCCTCAACCCGACACACTCGACCCTGAAACCCGGAATGGCCGTCACATCGTCGTGTTCATTGCCGTCCTCGCCGTGGTGACGCGCTTGATGGATAGATCTATATATGCATACATATCTTTGATTTAGCAACAGCAACAGTAGTATAAGACGTTTACTACCACTATTTTCAGTTTAATCACCATTCGTGCGGGTGTTTGTCGAAGCCGTCGTCGTCGCAGTCCCGAGTTGCAGTTGCAGGCACAGTCGTCGTGGTCATCATCATAGCAGCAGCCGTTGTATTCGCAGTCGCAGCTGGTGCTGGTCGTCCTCGTCTTGGCAGCTGCAGTGTCGTGGTGGTTGTAGTGGTGGTGGTGGCGGTGGTGGTGGTGGTGGTAATGGTGGTGATGGTGGTGATGGTGATGATGGTGGTGGTGGTGCTGCTGCTGCTGCTGTTGCTGCTGCTGCTTCTGCTGGTGCTGCTGCTGGTGCTAGTGCTGGTCGTGGTCGTGGTCGTGGTCGTGGGGTGGTGGTGGTGGTGGTGGTGGTGGTGGTGGTGGTGGTGGTGGTGGTGGTGGTGGTGGTGGTGGTGGTGGTGGTGGTGGTGGCGGTGGTGGTGGCGGTGGTGGCTGTAGTGGAAGCAGCGGTCGTCGTCGTAGTCGTCGTCGTTGTGGTGGTGGTACCAGTGCTCCAGCAGTAATTATAAGAGTCGCAGTAGTAACACAAGATTGAGGCAATGGCACAGTCCATATCAACGCTGGCCACCAACTGGTCGATAACGTCCTTGGCACAACAGGGAAGCTTGAGACACGTTAGGGTTTCAGGGCAGGCTGTTTCCGGCAAGTCGCACTTAAATGTTCATGAAACTGCCTTGGGGTTGAACAAGGCTGGTGGGAGCGAAGATCGGAAACGTTGAGTCCGAAACGCTTAGTCCGCAGCTCCAATTCTGCGCATCTCGTCCATAAACTTGTGTATGTCCTGTGTTCTGAAGCCTTCAACATAAACTGAACCCTGTCCCTAATGTCCTACACAGCTCCAACACACTGAATCCTCCTCGCAGCGGCTAAGCCAGAACACAGACTTTGCAGGCTTTAGCGATGCTGGCTTTGTGCGGCCCTATCTGAGCCCTACCAAAACCACGGCTAATTGGCTACGGTATGATGCTAAGGTCAATCTCCAAATGACCCACCAACCCTGTACAAATCCGTTACGCAGTAAACCCTTCAACCTAATTACAGTGAACCCACAAAAAGACAACTTTGACCCACAAACTCGAGCATCTCTGCAACAACAATGGCAACTCTGCATTCTAGGATCTCCTCTGAAGTATCTTGCGATGACGGCGCCGACTTAGCAATCCCAATGTGATCGTAGAGATGTCGCAATGGAGATGCAAGTCAACGCCCTAATGTATGGGCCTTAATTATCATAGAATAGGGTTTTGGGGCACATTATACTCTAATCATACTATAAGGAACCTTCAAAATAGTATAGGTAATTGTTTAGGTCCCTACCTATAGTCTCCGTTGTAGTTCCTTTTTGGGGATACCTTATAAACTCCTTAATATATAATTGCTTAAACCAAAAACAGGAACTACAATGGAGACTATAGGTACATTACGGATCATTCAAGGCCGGATCCCTGCAAGGCCGCTGCCACGTCGACACCCATTTCTGCCAAGCCGGCCGCGAACTCCGCGGTCTCAGGCGGCGCGCAGCATTTGGGGAGCTCGGCACCCCCAAACCCTGAACCCTGAACCCTAAACCCTGAAGCCTATAAACCCTAAACCTGAAACCCTGAACCCTAAACCCTGAACCCTAAACCCAAAACCCTAAATCCTGCAGCATCAAACTTGGAAGGTTCAGGTATGGAGAGCCTAGGCGTCAAGGACTGGCCTCTACACCCCCAAAACCCTCCGAAGCGCCAGCCCGAAATCCCAAACCGGTTTAGGGTTTAGGGTTTAGGGTTTAGGGCTTAGGGTTTAGGGTTTGCTCGAAGACCCCAAACTGGCAGCTCTGAAAGGTATACCCTTACATAGTAACCCTGGCAAGTGCCCCTATATAGTAACCCTTGAAGCTATCCATACATAAGATTCCTTGACTCTACCCTTGCATAGTAGCCCTTGAAGGTACCCCTATATAGGAACGCTAACCCTAAACCCTAAGCTCTAAACCCCAAACCCTAAAACCGTAATGGTGGAAGCGTATGGTTTCGGGCTCGCCTTGAGTTTAGGCTTAGGGGTTTAGCGGTTTAGGGTTTAGGGTATAGGGGTTTAGGGGGTTAGGGGGGTGATTATTCTGTCAACATCTGATACACAAGCAATGCTCATTGCAAACAGGTTTCGGGACGTATGATGACAGCATAGCTGGGTCTCAGACTATGGACTATGAGGATATTTCATTTTTTGGGTTGTGGGACTTGTGGAGGAAAGCCCCTGTCGTTTGGAGCCTACTGCAGCAGAGATCGTATGCGAGGACTGCGTGATATGTACTTCAACAAACTCCGTGAGCAAAAAACCCGCACAATTCTGAAAACGACAAGACAGTAACACCTCAAAAAACTGTTGCGCCCTTTTCTACATCAGTTAGAGTCGTACCTTAATTGCTGTGAACTCAACATGAGTAAGCCATTCCAGACTAGAGCTTACAGAGGTTATGATCTGTAAACCCGAAACCCTAAATCCGAATGTAGGGTTTAGTTACGGTTGAGATCAGCCCGGGTGGCGCTGAGCCGTCCATCGTGATCGGCATCGTAGCCGGCGAAGGCTTCCGCCAGGTTCTGGCTTAAGTGGAGTTTAGGGCTCAGGGGAGTTTCAGAAAAACAGAGGTCCCAATATACTTAGACACTCATGTATATATGTATGTATGTATGCATGTATGTATGTATGTTTGTATGCAT